TAATTTACTTTATTTTTCCCTCCTTTTAATAAAAAGCAATCTAATTTTTTAGAAGAAAAGGAAAGCAGATAGGCTTTAAAAAGTTTTTAGTTATGTGTGCTAATGAATGAAATGCTTTTGTCTATTTCTATCACTGTAACATGTTAATTTATGCTTTGTACATACAATTTGTATTGTATTATTATGACAGTTTATTCATAGTGACAAACAAATGAAGTACATTTTAATTATATAAAATCATAGAGCCATAGACTCATTGGGTTGGAAGGATTTTTTGTGGTCTTCTAGAATATAATATTATATAGAGAATAGAATATAGTATACAATATACCTATCCCAAAGGAACATTCTCATGTTTAGATAAAATATAGTATTACTTATATTTCAAATTCTTTCTCATGAATTCCACTAATCAAATATATGATTCTGATTTATATATATACATACACAATATTTCTACAGGGTCCACTTCCAAATTTCATTTCTGTTGTCATTTCCATTCCTTATTGCATTTCCTTCCTTCTTTCTTTCTTTAAAAACACTATCCTACAACATTTAGATGTTCCTATGCCTTACTATTGAGAGACACTGCAATAGGAAGTTCCACCAAATTTACATAACTTTGCATATTACCAATCAAATACATATATGCCTTTTTTCCCTTTCAGTGCACTTTAAAAATGGCTTTATTTTCATGAAATAAATAATTGGTAAGGATAACCAGTTGGCAAACAACACAAACATGAAGTATGTAATTCTGCACAACTTTGGAGACTTTCAGAATTTCTCTGAATGGCTTAATTGTTTATCATTTTGTGGTTAGAGTTTCAACATGATAAGAACCAACTTTAGAATCTCCTGTTTTAGTTAAAGGTCCAAGGTCAGATGTTTTCTAACATTGTCTTTTCTGTCTTTGTCTCTCCTTGAAGAGAAAATCTGATAAGAGTTTAAAATCAGAAGATCAGAAGGCTAGAAGGCATAGCAACCTGTTTTGATGGTGGAATACTTTTAATAAGATTGAAACAATATCAGTAAAATATTTTGGGATTACTCCTTTGATCCCTTAAAAATCCAGTATAGTGAGTCAAACAATAATTTATATACAATTAATATAAAGCATTATTTTGTAAAGAAAGTGATACATACTTTACCAACAGAGATGTTTCTGAAACATTTAGAGCTATCAGCCATTATTTGGAAATCAAAAAGTATTTTAGCTGCACCATTTGGCCAATATTTATATTGCAGTTCCTCAAATAACAATGTCAAAACATCAGAATCTAATCCTTTGATTTGTTCTAACATATATATTTTCCATATTCAAGTTCTGGCTGTTTTTGAGCATGGAATTCCCCATAGCGTTAATTCAGCATTGTCATTAAATTAGAATTGGTGTAGTATTAATACTATGCTTCCTTCCTAGGCGATATGGGGAACTCATAAAATTTGCAGATGACACTAAGCTGGCAGGAATATCCAACAATCCAGAAGATCAGCTTGAACATTGGGCGATATCTAAGACAATGAAATTCAATGGTGAAAAAAGTAAGGTTCTACATTTAGGCAAGAAAAACCAAATGCACAGGTACAATATAGGTGGTACCTTGCTCAATAGTAGCAACTGAGAGACAGATCATGGGGTCCTAGTGGACAATCACTTAAATATGAGCCAGGAGTGTGCTGCAGCTGCCAAAAAAGCCAACACAATGCTAGGCTGCATTAACAGAGGGATAAAATCAAGAGCACGTGAAGTGTTAATACCACTTTATAATGCCTTGGTAAGGCCACACTTGGAATACTGCATCCAGTTCTGGTCACCATGATGTAAAAAAGATGTTGAGACTCTAGAAAGAGTACAGAGAAGGGCTACAAAGATGATTAGGGGACTGGAGGCTAAAATATATAAAGAACGATGTTCCAGTATCTCAGGGGTTGCTACAAAGAAGAGCGAATCAAGTTATTCTCTAAAGCACCTGAAGGCAGGTCAACAAGCAATAGATGTAAACTAATCAAGGAGAGAAGCAACCTAGAACTAAGGAGAAATTTCCTGACAGTTAGAACAATTCATCAGGGACTTCTGGTTTTGCATGGTAGTGACCGGTTGTGGGTTTGTGGATTCTCCATACCCCCACGGCTAATTTTGCCCTGCCTGGGGACTGTAAATGGGTCTAAGTCGCTCCAGAGAGGTGATTAAGAAAGAAGGATGCTCCAGCAATTCTGGAACAGCAGCAGCTGTTCTGTTCAACTTGGGGAAAGCCTTCTAATCCAACAGGAGAAAGGCTGGTCCAAAAGCACTAACCAGCATAACTGTGAACTGGGTGAGGAATTTGATCTTCTCTTTTCTATTCTACATTTTATTTCCTGGAAAAGATCCCCAAGAAGCAAAATACCTCCGAAAGGGAAGGAGGGGGATTTCCACCCCACCCTTATACTAACGGAAGTGGCGAAATAATCTTTTTATGGAGGATCAAATATCTTTTTAAAACTATTTGGATTACACATATTTAATTGGGACTCTAAAGCTATTTGCAGAGAAAAGAAAGGAAGAGAAAAACTCAAATTCTTGGCCATCATGGATCAGAGACATGTGGACAAATTTCATTTTTTACTAAAACATCCTTTGGAAAGGGAATTATTTTATCCCTTAAACATTTCTCTTATTGGACATAACTATTGATACTGATAGCGGCATTTCATTATATATTGAAGAGGAAGGTAGAAGAAAATATAAGTCCTAAAATAGAATATCAAAATTAAACAAAGAATTTTTTTAAAATTTCCTCCATAGGCCCAGCCTTATCCATATGAGTGATGTGACTGTTCCTACTTTGTGGTCCTGAGCTTCTCTCTCAAATATTGATTTTTTTTTTATTAATATGAAAGTTCCTTTTCCTCACGGAACTGAAAATAGAATTTTTAGTTTCAACCAAATAGCATCACAGCTTCTATGAATGTATAATCCTGAAGCTTTTTAAATATTCCAGCTGGTGATAACTTATATCATATCATATCATATATCATATCGGGGGCGAGACTGGGTGGACCGCCGCCATGGTGCAAGCGCAGGAGCGGGCGCTCGAGGTCTACGATCTCATCCATACCATCTGTGACTCTGAGAAGCCAAACACACTGGAAGAGCTGGAAGTGGACTCTGTTTGAGGATCAAACTTCAACAATGTTTACCTTTCAATCGCAAGCTGGAAATCTACATATCAGAGGGGGCTCATTCTATTGAGGAAGACATCAACAAACAAATCAATGATAAAGACAGCAATGGAGAATCCCAGTTTGCGGGAGGCTGTGGACCAGTGTGTGCTGGACCCTGACTGACTTGGACTATCTGCCTCCTTTGTATTAACTTCTTTATAACATTACCTTGAATTTAATACTAAAAAATATTTTTAAAGAATCATTTTCAAAGCATCCAATTAATTGCAGACAAGAGTGAGCAGACCTGATCAATCAAAGATGAATAGAGTAGAATAGAATAGAATAGAATAGAATAGAATAGAACAGAACAGAACAGAACAGAACAGAACAGAATAGAATAGAATAGAATAGAATAGAATAGAATAGAATGTTAATGTTCTCTTAAAATTGATATTTCTAAACATGAATAATTTTTATTGCCAGCTTATGAAAAAGAGATTTGACAATCAGACTGGAATGGTATCTCCGGCTCAAGCAGGGGGGTTGGACAGAAGACCTCCAAGGTCCCTTTCAACCCTTTTATGTTCTATGTTCTATATCAGGGGAAGTCAACCTTGGCTCTTTTATGACTCGTGGACTTCAACTCCCAGAATTCTTGAACCAGCTTAGCTTAGCTTAGCTGACTCAGGAATTCTGGGAGTTGAAGTCCACGAGTCATAAAAAAGCCAAGGTTGACTACCCCTGTTCTATATCATATTGTATAGTATCATATCGTATCATATCATATCAGTTTGTAATAACAAACATCAGACTCATGGAATTTGTACATGAAAAAGCATGAGAAAGAATGGACAAGAAATGTGTGAAGGAAAATTCCACAGAGAACTTAATGACACTTTATGTAATTTTCCAGCACATTCATAGCTCAAAGAATCCTAGTTGCATGATAATCTGACCTTCTTCTGGAGTGGGTGGAGTTGGTATAGATCCATGTTATCAACTCACCTCCAACAATTACTGGGGAATGTACCCCTCTTTTCTCTCATGTTTTTCCTGTTCATAGTCTTCAATTATGTATTCAGAATTTAAAGAATAAACCTAAACCTGAATACTTTGGAATAGCATTCACTTTCTTTTATCATTTATACTGTACACACCGATCATGGATCTTTTTTAAAAAATGTGTGCTAAATTAACCCCCTTGTTCAGGTCTTCTGGTTTGAACTGAGAGTATTTATTTCTGAGTTAATACCCATGGTGCTTTTTCTCTAATTTTCATCCATAATAGAATAAAATAATAAGACCTGATAGGAACCCTATTTTCTCATTTCATTCAGTTTATTTCTCTCGCATGATTTGATTGCATTTATAAATGCCTGATTCTTGAATGGTTGTAACGCTCGTAATCACAACTACTGAACCTTTTTTTGTTGAAGCCACAGCAACTTCTTTGTGCCCAGGTTTGGTTCTAAACCAGGGATGTCAAACTCGCAATGTCATGTGACGTGTCGCGATGTATCACAACTTTTTTTCGTTGCCGGCAATGGGATGGGTGCGGTTTCTCCATGATACATTCAGCCTGCAGACCAGCAGTTTGACACCTCTGTTCTAGACATTCAATGACTCTCCATTTTTAAAGAAAATCCCTGTGCCAGGGATTCACATTCACATTCAGCCAGTTGAGAAAAAGTCTCTCTAAAAGGCTATATAATAGAAGCATATTTGTAAATAAAAAACGTATTTAATTTGGTTTTGAAAGTAATGGCATTTCTGATTTAATGAAACTAGGGTATGCTCATGCTATGATGCAGACACATACTTATTCTTACCTGTACACAAATAGTAATGGGTCCAAATGAATTCCTAACTAGTCCATAAATCTCTGAAAGTTTTTATTAAAGTCTTTGCATTTTCAGAGAGGTGTCAGTTCTCATTGTTCTTCTTCTTCTTCTTTTTAAAGACAAATTGATTTCAGTCCTGTAAGTAGAAGAAGAGGAACCATCAGACATCAAATAATAAAGAGCCATCCTTTTTGCTTCACAACTTGTAGTTGTAAAAGCAACCACCTTTTTGCTGATAACACTTCTGGAGAAAAATTTCATATAACTAGCAGAGATAAAATAATGAAAGAGTATGAATCAAATTCATGGAACCCTGAGAGTTGAATCATTAATCATGGCAAAATGAATGAAGTGCAGCTTATCTGCATTTATTCCTCTACATCTGATAGCCTGTAGTTTCTTGGCTGTCTACATTTTCTGATTTGAGGAAAAATACATTCAAGAGGGCATTAACTTATACCCATTCCTCTGGAGTTTAAATAAAGATGGTGAGCACTTGCTAATTTCCAATGATTTCTTTTTATTCTTAGCAATCACATAGATTTTATTCATAATGATCTGTCCCTTAATTGGCCCCTTTGGTCTTCAACAATGCCCTCATTTCCACTGTAAGGCACCTCACAAACATAGTACAAGCTTAAAAATCCATTTCAAATTATCTTTTTACTTTAGAAATTCTGGGGCTGAGAGGAAAAATTCAGCATCCTACTACTTTTCTTAAAATGTATTATTTATCATTCGTAGGAAAATCTCCTCATCCCAAACAGAAAATAACAGATTCCATTCTTACTACACTCCAGTCAGATCAAATGGTGTTCAGAGAAACACACGAACAGTGAACTGCTTCTTTTACTTCTTCTTTTTAAACCAACTTTCAATCTCAAAACAGGATTATGCTACTGGACTGGAAAATAACAGGACAAATTTTAAAAAGTCTCTTGTTTATTTCCCAGCTCAATAAGATCTTTGTTGCATGAATTCTAGGCTATGTAGCATGTAATATTTGAAAAGCACTTTAGTCATGAACACTAGGTAAATGTTTTTGTTCTTAAATTGCAAGAGTCTTGGGGGAAAAAAAATCTCTGGAAGGCATTTCAAATAATCAAATGATGTCACTAAACTGTAAGCACATAATTATCTTCCCACTACTATTCTTCTTTCCTTGAAGACTGAGACAATTGAGTATCTCTTCACTATATTGAAAATTGGATTAGGAAATTATAGCTATGTTTCACATTTTTTTCTCTTTTCATTATGAGATCATATAGACAACACCTTTCTATATTCCTTTACTCAGTTCACAAAGGGAAATACAAATTTTGATTACAAAACTTATGGATGCCTATTATTACTGCATGCTTCCTTGTTATTTATTTTAGATTGCTAAGTTTGTAAAACAACCCAGTTTCTGTTTGGAGTTACCTGCCCATCCCCACCATAGCAAAAGCCTTGACAATGACAGATCAGCAACACATACATGAGAGAAAGTAGCTTTGCCACTCACCATTTAATTTTTCAACAATTAATTTTATGTCAAGTCCTAATATGGTTTAAATACCTTCCATTTCAGGGACATGGTGGAAGATTGAAGGTCTTTGCATTTTGCAAGCCACTAATGATCGATCCTTGCTATGTTCTAGAACATCCCTTTTCTTCCAGTGTCAGACCTCTAGGGTTTGAGAGTTGATAGACACCATTTTTTATACAGGGCAGGAGGCAAAGCATGGGTCAATTGATCAATCAATCAAATCATTCCATCCTCTACCTAGCTGAGTAAATAATTTATCATTATTTTCATAAAACGTGTTTTCTTTTAATTTTAGACTATTGAATATCACAATTATGTATTTTATATTTTCTAATTCTCTCTTTCATTCGTATCTACTGTTACTACACTACCATGAAAAAGGAGTAATGGATAGCTTATGTCTACAATGGGATAGCCTCCCTGCCTCCAGGCAGCACCTGAGTATCAATATTTATTTATTTATTTATTTATTTATTTATTTATTTATGAGACTTATATACCGCTTTAAGTGCGAGCACTCTCTAAGCGGTGTACACCAGTAAGCAATGTATATATATATTTACATTTCCCCCAACAATCTGGGTCCTCATTTTACCTACCCCGGAAGGATGGAAGGCTGAGTCAACCTTGAGCCGGTGAGATTTGAACTGCTGACCTGATGAACACAGTCAGCTAGAGTGGCCTGCAGTACTGCACCCTAACTGCTACTCTCCCCATCTCAGCTATAGGCTTCATACATATACTCCTAATATTCCTGCCTCACTAGAGATGACTCTGTTTTGGAGTTCAGGTTCTCACTAAACTTCTAGCTCTAGATTCTGTTCTAGTCAGAAGCTGTGTCACATTTTAAGTTTTTTTTTTCATCATATGGTTTGGTTAAGCCTTATTTTCTTTATTAGGTCTTATTACTCTGCACAAGTAGAACATTTTGTGTGATTTCAGCTGGTTTCTAGTAGACATATTAGGATGGATACATTGAAAGATGGATGGATGGTCCTGCCTTAATCCACTAATTCTAATGGGCCACTACCAGTGTATAGTTTTCCAAGGAATATTGCCTGTGTTTTATAAATTAGGTTTCATACATCACTGAGATTTTTAAAATGAACTTTGAATGTGTTCATACAGGTAGTCCTTGACTTACAACCACAACTGAGCCCAAAATTCCTGTTGTTAAGTGAGATATCTGTTGAGTTTGGGCCCATTTTATGACCTTTCTTCCACAATTGTTAAGTGAATCACTGCAGTTGATAAGCTAATAACCCAGTTGTTAATTGAATCTGGCTTCCCCATTGACTGATGGTCAAAAGGTCGCAAAAGGAGATCACATGACTTTGGGACACAGCAAGAATCATAAATATGAACCAGTTGCCAAGCACATGAATTTTGATCATGCGATCATGAGGATGCTGCGAAGGTCGTAACTGTGACAAATGGTCATAAGTTACATTTTTCAGTGCTGTTGTAACTTCAAATTGTCACTAAATGAACTGTTGTAAATCAAGGACTACCTGTATTTTGCAAGATTATTTATCACCAGAGGAAAAGGAAGAACTTAAGCTTCTCACTACACATCTCTATACTACAGCATCAGGAGACTGTATTGTTGAAATTATTTATTACCCCTCTAAATGCTAATTTTTTTGTTGGCAGTAAGGCAAGCCATGAGGTGACAGCTCTCTCACATAGTGGATTTAGGGACAGGAAGTCAGGTTAGGCATCCTCTGAAAAGAGGTGGTACTAAGTTGCTCCAGCAGAGAAATATTGACAGGGTGTGTAGACCCAGACAGCTTCTGAGACAGGATGCTTGAGACTTCCAGTCTTTCACCCAGTGGACTCAGCTGTACTCATTTCAAATAGTTGCCAGTCGATTCTTTTCCATGTGTTTCAATATCTTTTTATTATTATTATTCATTGCAATCCCTGTAAGTATGCGAATTGGTACATGGAATGTGCACATCCATCCTTGATGGACCATATTACAAAAGTTCCATAAACATTTACAGCATTATGTCAAACAAATCTGTGATAAACAAACTTACCATCATCTTGGATTTTGTACAATTCTTACATTCTTCTTTTCTCAACGTATTTTCTTATTATCTGAAATTCAACCTTTTTGTATTCAGTACATGTTCTTAACAATCTCCTGGAGGAAGCATGGTCATCCACCTCAGCTGTGAGCCCATTAGCACAGGGGTCCATGGACCAGTGCCCGGCCGTGGCATGATACCAACTGGACTGCACAAACAAGAAAGCCCCATCTGTGGAATGCAAGCAACACACAAAACCATGCTCTCTCTGGTCCATGGAAAAACCTTTCTCTGTGGAACCAGTCCCTGGTGCCCAAAAGGTTGGGGACCTCTGCATTAGCATCTTCCCCATCTATACATTTGGGGAAATACTGTAAAAGAGTTTATACATTTAGAATAAGTACAAAGTATGAAAGAAATGAGATATCATTTTTAAATATTAGAAATAAATAGAAGACAGATCAAACCTCTGCCTGGAGTCTTTGGAGACTACACCTAACTATTTCATGATACTGAGGAAAGAATTAAAACAAGGAAAGCACCCTAAATTTGCAAAAGTTGAATAGTAATCTCCTAACACAACTTGATTTTGAAAAACAAGAATAGAATGATGATCCAACAGTACTTTTCCTATTTAACAGTCCTTCCAAAAAGATCTCATGACCAAAATATTTATGTTACCAAAACACACATTAAAACATGGGGTCGAACGACCATTTCACGGGGGTCGCCAAACAAGGCTGTCCACCATTTTGTCCCCCTTTTCTTTGGCCACACCCCTGGCACCCGGTGATGTATAAGTGGTTGGGGGTCACCATAACATGGAGGAACTGTATTATGGGGTTGCGGCATTAGAAAGGTTGAGAACCACTGCATTACAGGGTGATCAATGCAGCTTCTGTTAAATTAGGTTCTTTAGTTTCTTCTGCTTTGCTTGTTTCAGCTTCATAACGTGGGATAATTTCTTCACTGCAGTTTGAAAATGAGTATTTGCTTAAATTCTGTCCAGTCCTCTTAAGGAAAGCCTCTAAAATTCTAGCTAAGGATATTTTTCTTAGGGAACAATGTTTCTAGAAATAACAGAATTTACAGCTGCCAAAATGTAAGAAAGACTTTTTTTTATGCCTGATATATCATTAGACATCAATGAAAAACAAGGAATGACCTGACTTCAGTGTGTCAGGAGCTGTCTCAGTTTTCTGGACTATCATATCTGCTGGAATAAAGCCATGATTGGTGAAAGGCTAGTTGTCTTGTTGCTAGGATACACAGTGGAGATAAAATTCAAACTGCCATTCCAGCTTGGTGAAAGACTAATACGGTTTTCTAAGTTGCATTTAATTTTTGTCTGAAATTTATTATATTTTTATAAAATCTGTGTGATGAAATAGAAAGAAATAAGGTTAAAGAACAAGCATGAAGGAAATGAAAATATAACTTGAAGAATTAATAGTTATGGTTGCTTGAAAAGTGGCAGATATTCAGCTTTTTTATATCTGTCAGCAGAATCATAAAAAACAGACCATTTTATAATGAGTCTCTGTGTTTTTATTATTTCACCTAACATTAAAACCATGCCAAGAGTAATTTCTTTCCCTAATGCTCATAAGCTACTTTTAATTTTCTATTGGTGCCATGTATATTCTTCCATTTCAGAGTATCTGCATTTTTCCAATTTTTTTTTACAACAATGTTCTTGTGAAGATTTTCTTTTTCTATTGTTAACAATTTCTTTTTTCTTGAAAGTTTTGCTTTTTCTGATGAGATGAAGGATTAAGTATCCAGAAGAATTAAAAATAATTCAGTAAAAACAAATGGCTACATTAGAATGTACAGGAAACTGATACTGGTTTTGTATATGGTAACTGCAGCAAAATGATTATATGCACAATGATGAAGACATACTGAAATAACCACAATGGAGAAGTGGATTATGAAAATAGTGGAATTGGCAAAAATGGCAAAATTGATCTATTTGATCAGGGATAAAACAATACATTTTTTTTTTATAAAAGACTGGAAATGTTTTATGTTCTGCAGAAAACAGAAAAAATGATAATTTTTTGATTTGCTGAATAAAATTATTGAATAACAACAAGAAGAGAACCATGTAATGTGAATTTAAAAGGGAGGGAAGATATTAAGTTTGTAACTGCTTTAAAGTAGTTATGTTGGATTGAGTGGTCAGGTATTTTTTAATAAAGTTGCATGGATATCAATATTGTTGGAAGATGTTGTATAGAGATTTATTTTCTTTTTCTGCTGTTCAGGGGTGTAGCGGTTCAGATACTGCTGCATGCAATATAAGGACTGCAATAATCAGTACATAGGACAAACAGGAAGCATCCATGAACTCTGACTAGCAGTCAGAAGACATGATGAAAACTCATTATATGATCTCTCTCTCTCTCTCTCTCTCTCTCTCTCTATATATATATATATATATATATATATATATATATATCACACACACACACACAAACACACACAGAGACATATCTTTTCTTTTTATTTTATTCAAAGGAAAGTTAAAATACAAAATTCCCCAAAAAGTTAAACAAAAACACTAAACAATCAAGACATTTAAAAAGTGCATTGGAAAGAAGAAAAAATCAAAACATATCCACATATTATCCTCCCTAATTGAATACCGACTAACACATGACTACAATAAAGGTTCCCACCCACCCCTTGAAAAACAGCTCCCCCATTTTTAAACTAGTAAATATATTTGAAGTTATAGTAATCTGGAGGCTTGATTGTTTTAAGAAGGTTCTCAGCCACATCTTTAATTTTTGCTGCAAGGAGACAACACATACAGTATACAGATAGCTGATTTTTTTTTTATGCTTTTCCCGACATTTAGTAGTAAATTACTTACATTTGTGAGGAGAGAATTTCTTATTAGCTACTTATGGTATTATTTAGATATGGACAATTGCTTGGTAAGCTTAAAAATTGTATTAGGCATATGAATGTTTTCCCTCCTTGAAGAGAAATACTGACGGTATCAGAAGTCATCATATAACTAGGGATTAAAACATCCACTTTTTCTAAGCAATAATTTTATCATGCATCTCCCAGGACAAATGGTCTTTTGGCTAGTTGCTATACTGGAAACCCAAGTGCCTCCAGCTTCCTTAGTCATGCTAAGATGGTGAGCTGGTTTTGTTTATTTGTTTGTTTGTTTTAAATGGTGACAAAGTGTCACTGAAACAGCCAGGCTGAAATAGATACATCAGCTTTTTCCACCTTGGAAAGTTGATAGACCGCTACTTCAAATAGCTCCAATTTATCTGTCAGAACATGATATATATACAGTATTTGTAACATTATTTTTGAAATTGCAACTTATTTTTATCACCTCAACCAGCTGGATGACTCTGTCACAATTCACAATACATGTTGAAGCAACAGAAAAAAAAAGTGCTAGAACAATTTCTGAAGTTACCAGTGATCATAACAGAACTATCCCCCCCCCCCAAGTTCATTTTTAGATGAGATGGGATGATATTGGACTGGGGCAAAGAATGAAAGAGAGTATCTGCTTTCTCAATATTTATGTTAGCCATACTATCATTTCTCTATTTATGTGAAATTAAATTTTACATCTTGCAATGTAAAAGTAAGTAAGTCCAACTGATTTGATATGTGAAAGTTAATAACTAGCCTTTTATTGATTGTCATAGAACATTAAATAACATTTTGATACTTTAACTTTTTGTTCAACTTCCTTTTAATTTTATGGTTTGTCATATTATTGGATAGAAGTTTAGAGTGGATTTGACATTTTTACCCTATTTTGTCCTTCCCATATAGGCAATGTGAAAATTTGATGGCAAGCAAGAACTGGCGGTACCGTAAAATAGAGAAAATCAACTGGAGTTCAGCGCTGATCCTGGCACTTCTGCTGATCCTTGAAGAAGAGCCGATCAGATGGAGCCCAGTGCTGATCCTGAAACTTCTGCTGAGCCCTGACAGCCCTGCATTAGTGCCGATCAGCTGTCAGGGCTCAGCAGAAGCACCAGAATCAGCACAGGAAGAAAGGAAGGAAGGTAGGAAGGAAGGAAGGAAGGAAGGAAGGAAGGAAGGAAGGAAGGAAGGAAGAAAGGAAGATGAGAATGAGAAGGAGGGAGAGAAAGAGAGTGAGGGAGGGGAAAAAGGAGGAGATGGGAATGAGAGGCAGGAAAATGGGAAAGGAAGGAGATGGGAATGAGAAGGAGGGAAAGAAGGAGGGGAGAAAGGAAGGAAGGAAGGAAGGAAGGAAGGAATGAAGGAAGGAAGGAAGGATGAGAAGGAGGGAAGCAGGAAAGGAGCAAAAAAGGAAGGAAGGAACCTCCTCCCCACTCCTGATGGTAACCACAATGCTAATGCAGCCCTCAGTGAAATTGAGTTTGAAATCCCTGATATAAAAAGTTGTTAAGTGAATCTGGTTTCCCCATTGACTTTTCTTGTCAGAAGGTTGCAAAAGGGATCACGTGACCCTGGGACACTGTGACCATCATAAATATGAAAGAGTTGACAAGCATCTGAGTGTAAATCATGTGACCCTGGGGATGCTGAAACAGTCATAAGTGTGAAAAATGGACATAAGTCATTTTTTTCAGAGCCGTTGTAACTTCAAACAGTCACTAAACAAACTGTTGTAAGTTGAGGACTACCTGTACTTCATCACTTTTTTCCTTTCCTTTTTTTTTTTTTTGATCATCAAGTTTTTGACACCTTGCTAGGTGGTATTCGGATATTGCCATATCCTAAAAGTGGTACAATGGGTGAAAAGATTGAAAAGCCCTGGCCTAGACATTGGTATTTAAACACAGATCTTTTTAACATTTATATTTTATTGTGTTCTACTAATCTAGATGAAGTGTTAATCTATATTGTTAGTCCATGTATGATATGCCATATGCTAAATAAATAAATTTATAAATACTCAAGGTGGCCAATTTGCATAATTCTATCAGTTTAAAGTAGTTTAAATTTGAGCAATGCTATCTGCTTGTTCAAACAACAGGATATCACTTTATTGAATGTAAGTAATTTAATTACTGTATAAAAGAGTGCGATGAAGGTGAAATTATCCTGATAAAATATTTATAATAGATGTTCATTTATCAGAGTGATGTTCCATGATTACAAACAGCAGAAACTTCATGGAGTGTAATTTATCTTTCTATAGGTTTTTAAAAAGAATCCTAACTTGAATGTTACCTCTTGTTTAGCATCAGAGTAGCGTAATTTTTTCTGTGGTCCATTATGTGATAGGGCTGTGGCCCTCAAAGGATGATGCCCTTCCATATATTTAGTAGCAAAGTGTCCTACTGATACAGTAGGATGAAGCAAAGTGTTTTAGATACCAGGGGACACAATGGCTGCATCACTTCACTTGCTTACAGCATCTGCTGTGCATCAGCTGCACATGTTCAGAAGACGAATGCAGTGCAATCTCATAGATGATTGTGTGTTTGTGTGTGCCGCCAAAACATAAAACATACCAAGTAAGAATATGTAGAGTCTCTTAATAGTGTTGTTTTGTTGTTCTATGATTCCAAATACTTTTTGATTTTTATTTGGATGACTCTTAGCGTGATGTCTGGGTGTCAGAATGCTAGAACTGATTTTTTTTTCCCATGTGTCTAAAACTGAATACGGAATGCAATGCAAACATCAAGGAATGGCTTGCAAATGACGATGGAATATGATATAGTCTTGTTTGATCTAAGGAAAACTTTTTGTTTAGAAAAAACAGGATGTTTGACTTCTTCAGTCTTCCAATTTAGGTTTTTACTCATTATTTATTCCCAATGTATTGCTCATTATGTAACTTTTTTTGTCACTTGAGCAAAAGATATTACAGTTTTTCTTCGCAAAACCTAATGACCTTGTCCAGGGCTAAGCATCTTTTTGCCAAGTATCCCATCTGGCTTTTCAATTTTTGATTTGTAAGCATTTCTTTAATAACACAGAGTTAATCAGAATAGAGCCGGAAGGGACCTTGGAGGTCTTCTAGTCCATCCCCCTGCTCAAGCAGGAAACCCCATAACATTTCAGACAGGTGGTTGTCCAGTCTTTTCTTAAAAACCTCCAGTGACGAAACACTCACAACTTCTGAGGGCAAGATGTTCCACTGGTTAATTGTTCTCACAGTTAGGAAGTTTCTCCTTAATTTCAGGCTGCTTCTCTCCTTGATTAGTTTCCATCCATTGTTTCTTGTCCTGCCCTCTGGTGCTTTTGAAAA